AGCCTCTTTCCCTTCTGTAATTGTTTCTGCTTCCAGGTTCTGTTTCAGTTACTCTCTAATCTCTTAAACAATGCAGATCTTGGCTATTTCTGGATGTGAACACTTTGAGCAGATCTGACAGCTGCCGGAACCTCCTCTCCCCACCCTGGCGGTGTTAGTGCTTGGGCTCTGCTCCTTCCTGTGTTCTCTTTCAGTGCTCTATGACCAGGGCTCCCGCTCTGCTTTGGCGGGGCGGTGGGAGCCTGTGCCCGGCTTCTCACCACCTCCCAGCTCCTGCCGTCTGCATCTTTATGTCTAACTTTAGATTGTCGGGCTGGGTAGTGTTTAAATGTTCTGAAAGCATACAGTCTTCATGTGTGTGGTTGATTCTAAAGGGTAGAAGTCAGTCAATGGTGTTTACCTTGCTTGTGATGTACGAGGATTATATACTCCTTCTTGTACACCATTTTGATTTGTTTGAGGCTTTTAATAGTTTTCTTTCTCTTGCATTGTATGCCTTAGCTCATCTGTAAATTTCTCTAATGTAGAGGTCGGCCGACCTTTTTTTGTAAAGGGCTGGGGAGAATATTTTCAGCTCTGTGGACCATATGATCTGTGCTTCAATTTCTAAACCCTGCCTTTGTAGTATGAAAGCAGCTATAGGCGATACATAAACTAATGATTGTGTTCCAATAAAACTTTATTTACAAACACAGGCAGTGGGTCAGATTTGACCTGTGGGCCATACGTTGCCAATTTCTGTTCTAAGATCAGTTTCAAATCTCTAGAATCTCCTCTTCCCTCAGATGCCTCCCTTGGAGCTCCCCTCCCCCCACTTCCCTATTTCAAATCAGACTAATTGCTGGGTAGACAGCTGCACGTGGTACCCTGCGGAATGGTCTGTGTATTGTGTACCCCAGATTCATATGCTGAAATCCTAACCCCCAGCATGATGGGTTTAGGAGATAGGGCCCATGAGAGGTGACTAGGTCCTGAAGGTAGAGCCCTCACGAATGGAATTGGTGTTCTCTTATGAAAGAGACCCCACAGAGCTTTCTAGCCCCGTCCACATTTGCGTGAGTTTTGTGAGTCACGTGGTGTCAGTCCTCTGACTTTGGCCTCCTTTAATATTGAGTTGCCAGTTCTGGGTCTTTTTCCTTTCCGTATAAATTTTATGAATTAGTTTGTCAATATCCACAAACTACCTTGCTGAGATTTTGATTGGGATTGCATTGAATTACAGATTGAGTTGGGAAGAAACTGACATCTTGACACTATTGAGTCTTATCCATGAACATGGAATATCTCTCCATTTATTCAGTTCTTCTTTGATTTCATTTATCAGAGGGTGGTGATTTTCCTGATGTAGATGTTGTACATATTTTGTTAGATTTATACCTTAGCATGTTGTTCTTTTGAGGCTAATTTAGGTTTTTTAATTTCAAATTCCAGGTGTTCATTGCTGGTATTTGACTTGTGTACTGATGGTGACAAGTACCACGAACAGGGCGGCTTAAAGTAACAGAAACTTACTGTCTTACAGTTCTTAGGCTACAAGTCTGAAATCAAGGTGTTGGCAGGGTTGCTTCCTTCTGGAAGCTCTGGGAGAGAATCCATTCTATGACTCCAGCTCCTGGTACTTTGCTGGCAATAGTCGGTGTTCCTTGGCTTGTAGATGCCTCCCTCCAGTCCTTTTCTTCATATGGCTGTCTTCTCTCTGTGTCTTTTCACAGAACTCCGCATTGTGCTCGCCTGTCCTGTGTCCAAATTTCCCCCTTTTATAAGGACACCAGTCGTATTGGTTAGGGCTCCCCATAATTTCCTCATTTTAACTCGATTACTTCTGTAAAGACCCTATTTCCAAATAAGGTCGCATTCTGAAGTATGGGATGTTGGGACTTTGGCATCTCTTTTTTAGGGGACACAATGTGACCCATACATCTTGAATTTTACAATCTTGCTATAGTCACTTATTAGTTCCTGGAGTTTTTGTTTGTTTTTTGGTCGATTCTTTGAGATTTTCTACATAGATGGTTGGTATGTCATCTGTGAACAAAGATAGTTTTATATCTTCCTTCCCAATCTGTATACCTTTTATTTCCTTTTCTTGTCTTATTGTGTTAGCTTGGACTTCTGGTACAATGTTAAAAAGCAGTGGGTAGAGGGGACATCCTTGCCTTGTTCCTGATCTCAGCAGGATAGCAGCTGGTTTCTCAGCACCAGGTGTGATGTTAGCTGTGGGCTTTCATAGGTGTTCTTTATCAGGTCAAGGAGGTTCCCTTTGATTCCTAGTTTACTGACCACTTTTATCATGAGTGGGTATTGGATTTTGTCAGATGCTTTTTCTGCGTCTATTGATATGGTCATATGACTTTTCTTCTTGAGCCCGTTGATGTGATGGATTACACTGATTTTTTTCAAGTATTGAACCAGCTATGCATACCTGGAGTAAATCCCACTTGGCTGTGGTGTAGACTTCTTTTTATACATTGTTGGACTCAACTTGCTGATACTTTGTTGGGGATTTTTGCATCCGTGTTCACGAGAGATAACTGGTCTATAGTTTCCTTGTACTGTCTTTGCTGGTTCTGGTATTAAGATAATGCTGTCTTCATAGAATGAGTTAGGGTGTATTCCCTCTGTTTCTGCTTCTGTCTTATGGAAAAGATTGTAGAGAATTGGTATAATTTCTTCCTTAAATTCACCAATGAACCCATCTGGACCTGATGCTTTAGGAGGCTATCAATTATTGATTCAAGTCTGTAATAAATACCAGTCTGTTCAGGCTATCCATTTTTCCTGGTGTCAGTTTTGGTAGATTGTGTCTTTCCAGGAACCATTCCATTTCATCTAGGTTATCACATTTGTGGGCATAGAGTGTCATAGTGTTCCTCTGTTATCTTCTTGTTGTCCACAGAACAGTTCCTGCTGTGCTCCTTCTTTTTGATATTAGTTTAGTAATTTGCGTCGTTTTTTTTTTTTTTTTTTTTTTTTTTTTTTTGCGGTT